TTTTATTAAATAACTTCTTACTAAATAAAGAAAGATAGTAATTGTATAGATGGAGGAAACCACCTTGGATAACCTTGATATTTTAGTATGTTGTTAAGGTCACCCTCCTGAGTGACCTTTAGAAAGTTTCAGCCCGCGCTCGTTATCCGTTTAAAAGTTATTAACAAAAAAAAGTTGGAAAATATAGCAGCTATTTTGAGTATTGGAAGGCATAAATGACTAATATATATGTGGAAATAGTTCACGCATACACTTTCCACGCGAAACAAAGTTTACCCCCACCCCCCTTCGAGTTCACGCAACGAATTATATATCCGATACGATATATTTAAATTTTTCTCAACATTTTTCTCTTGAGTTGAATCAATTAAAGGGTTGTTTCGAGGTTAAGGGGGTGAGCTCGAAAATCGAAACTATATCACTTCGAAAGCTCATAAATAGCTCTTAATTCTGCCGCAAAGATCAATTCAATATCTCTATTTTTAACTTTTAAGTAGTGGGGGCTGAGTCAACGTTGACTCACCGAACTGGTGCTGACGGTCTGACAGTGCCACACAATGTTCTGTGGTGCCACATCAGCGTGCCGACACGTAAGACGTGGATGTGATCGCGAGTGCGTATAAAACGATTGTCCGATTTGCTTCGATCGTCCGTCGCATATCTGAGACCATCTCGGACTTGAAATATTTAACGGTAGATCATTAGATCAGACACCTTCCAAAATCCGTGAATGCGAACAAGTCATTCGTCGAAAGGTTTAAATTAAGCTTAAAAAAAGTAAACACGTATACGCGTATACACTGAAAAAAATGGTCTTGCAAGTACAGTAAAAATTTTCTGGGTGCAAAAAATTAACTGAGGTAAATAAATGATTAGCCAATCTGTGATATCGCGTATGTCTTACACTTAATCAATCTAAATGACAGAGACAGAATTTATATCTGAACTGTTAGTGAAATGTAGAAAGACAGTTTTTCTGTAGCGCCTATCCATGTTAAGCACAATCAGACCTGTTAGAAAGTTTGACTATGGTACACAGAAAATATTAGCGGCAAGCGAGAAAAATGAATATATGATCCTCACACCAACAGTTTGTATAATGCATCCAATCCGTCTAGCTCTTTTTAAGAATCTCTCGCGCTCAACTGTTTCACGTGCATGATGCAAGACTGTTACAGGTTCAGTCATGTTCAGTGTTCGCGCGCAGTGAGCAGCGTAGGTTATCCACCGTTTTCGTCGTCATCGTCGTCGTCTCCGCCACCCGGTCGTCGAGTTTTCCCTCGAACGAATATTCACTGCCAGTACTGAAAAGCTATAGTTTACGTCACGTGTACTATAGATTTTCAGTACTGGCAGTGCATTGCAGTGAATATCGGAACACAGCTTTCGTTCGAGGGAGAACTCGACGACCGGGTGGCGGAGACGATGACGATGACGACGATAACGGTGGATAACGGCGAGCCTCCGATCCACGCCCAAGACTGATTTTAGGGCCAATTTCTTCACCGTTGGATAACTCTATCCTTCGATTAACCTCACTCTTCATCTCTTTCTGACTGTCCCCTTAGAAAAAGATGAAGAGTGAGGTTAACCGAAGGATAGAGTTATTCGACGGTGAAGAAATTGGCCACGAATATATTGTTGTATTATCTCGCTGCTGCAGTTATAATCGGCAGCTATATTTCTCACAAAGATCGTTCTAGCTGTAGTATCGAAACTCATATTTATCCAATGCAGTGATAAACATTTGGTAATGGGATCTAAATTTTCCAGAAGATATTACTAGAAAGTTGCTGCTATAAATTCTATATGTGGCAAACAATATTCTAACAGATACAAAAAATAGCGATACATTTTTGTTGTGCCACCTAGAATTCTAACTACACTTGCAAAACATTTTTTTTAGTGTATATCTATATTTTATTATTTATTGATACATATAATATATGTATATATCACTATACATACATATAATGTATATATCACAGTTCAAATAAATTTTGAGTTAAGCCCATAAATAATCTGCCTAAAATGTTATTTATGTCTGCCTATACGTGCTATAATAGTCTCACAAGTCTACGGATATATTATTCTGTTTCACGCATGATGCGCGCATAATATCCCAGTAAGCAAATAGTTATTTGTGTAACAAGTATCGTAGCGGTAACCGCACCCGGGAATTTTCATCTTTACACACGACTTACACTCCCTATTTTATGTTGCAAGTGCCTGGAAACTGGTCTATCACGCACGCGTAGCGTGCGTAATGGGGCACTTTCCATGCACGTGTTGCATAAAGATTATTAATACAATGTTATTGCAACAATATTTCAGAACTTGTAATATTGTTATATGTAGTTCTTAATGTTGTATAGAACATCATTATGAACATACTTTGACCACGATTACGAAATTTCAGTAATGTTGAAATAGGAGTGCCATAACGTTGCAAATAACATTGCGCTAAGGTTTTTCTATTCTTTTCTGTTTTTGAGATAAAAATTTAAACGTACTATATCAACTTTATTGCAATATTATATTAAGATTACCGCAATATTAATTTTAACATTTATTTAAGGTCCTCTTTCGTTCTGGGGACTCCGAGCTAAATACATCTCTGAAAGGCCGAGGCAGCTACCCTTGAATTTCTTCAATCGGCGATCGAACTAGATACGGATCTTGATACGACGACCGAATGGACTACAAACTTTGATACGGCTCGCCTGGCATATATCGGCGACTCAAGAAGAAAGAAGCGAGGGCCCTCGGAACAGGCGAGAGAGCCAACGAGGGAAGCACAATATATTATATTACGAGCACAGATGAGTACCTTACTGTCTATAATGTAACTTTGAATCGTAACCGGCACGTGCACTCTTAGATTGTAATAATTCGAGCGCTAGATAAGCGTATCCGTTTGCCATTCCATGCTCTGTGCCATTTCATATATTGACGGCTATCTTCTGCGTGAATAATAACGAGCGAGATGTGTGAGTGAACGGATGTGTGAGCGAGTGCGGATATATGTAAGTATTATAGTGTCGGACGAAAGTATTATTGTCGCGAGGCACTGAAATTTCAAGTAAAAATGCCGTTATAGATATACGAATAAAGATACGAGTTATATTATATGTTTCATTTCTATCGGGAAGCTGAGCCGTCATGATTTCGTCAGACAGAAGCAAAGAATATCTTACAGAAAGTACAAAAATTCGGAATTAAGTCAAACATTCATTAGAAATAATGAGAACAAAAATTGTTGAACTTTTAATTATTTTCATCTAAACTCGTGTCTGAAAAACAATTTATGCAAGTAAATTCGCGATCGGACGTGCGCACACATTTGTCATGAGCCATATGACTGTATGACATGCATCGTTTGTTATTAGGAGCCGATAAAACGGCGTGGTGTCGACTTTCCCCCGAACGTCGTTTTTCGTCATTCCAAAAACATAAAAATTTTGAAAATATACAAAAACTATTACCGGATTCGTATAAAGCATCAAATCTAAAAAAAGAAGGGGTTAATTCACAAGTCGTTAAGCCACTGGAGGAAGAACAGCGTATAGGACAAATTAAAAAATCTTCTCAATATAGCCAGGAGCAAGATTTACAGCAGCAACTTGATAGTGGGCCTAGCTTTAAACGTTCAGATTATAACTTATTGTTAGAGTTACCAGATAATTTTAAGGTAGGACAAGCAATTGCAGATGGAAACTGTTTCTTTGATTCGTTTAGACAAGGACTAGAACAACAATTAGGAATAAAAGTTACTGTTGAACAACTGCGGATAGATTGTCAAAAGTTTGCACAAAACAATCCACTAGATTGGTTCATAAATGCTATTGCTAACAGTCATGATAATACTGGTGTGGTGCGTGAGGAAACTACAGATTCTTATATAGAAAATATTCTAAATAACAATAGATGGGGTGATCCTGAAGTTGAAGGTAGAATACTTTGTGAAAAATATAGTACACCTACAAATAGACTAAAGCTACATGTTATTGAAAAGCATATTGTAAATGGAGAAGAGGTACGTACAGATCAAATCATAGATAGCGAAGGTTCTAAATCTGTAAATAAAATAAATTATAATGAAGAAAATACTATACACATAGTAAACCGAGGTACAGCACATTTTGAACCAGTACTTCGTGTACAAGAGATTGAACATCATGAACAACGATCTTCTGATTTTTCTGATTATGATGATGAGCTAACGCCTGAAGAAGAACTAATTTATACTATAAAGAGTAGTGATTCAGAAGAAGAAAAGCTAACAAAGATCAAGAAGCTTTTTGAAAAGAAACCGAAACCAAATATCAATTTTCAAGACAAAAATAATGATACACCTTTGCATATTGCTGTTCGTAAAAAAGAATTGAAAGTCATTGAATCACTTGTAAAGAATGGAGCAAAAAATGATATAAAAAATAATAGAGATAAAAGTCCACTGGATATTGCTAACCGTCTTAACAGGCAAACCATCATTCAAATCTTAGAAACACCATTAGATTCAAAACCACAGCAGCATAAAAAACCACTAAACAAGCAATTTGAATATAAAGGAGGTCAACAACCTTCAGGTCACCCAGTATCTATTACAGCAAGACAACAAGAACAATCCCAATATAGAAACAAGAACACTAACGTAGATAGTCAAAACACACTGAGAAAGGAAAGAGACCATGGACTTCATGGTAATATGTATCAGTTAAAGTTATTAATGCTATTTTTACATCGCGGTGTCTCTCACGAGTATTCTTTTCGCTTAAGTACAGAAATAAAAGAAGCCAAAAAGTTTGACGATTTAGTTTTTGAATACACTAAAGATGGCAGAAAAGAATATCGTTTCTTACAAGCCAAACATAAATTAGATGAATCTAAAGAAAAGATTACGGCAGACAGTTTATTAACAGAAAGTGATGGTGATTATAGTTTAACAAAGTACTTCTTCTCTTATCAAGATTCCAAAAAAGAAAAGTTATTTAAAGATGGTTCAATTAAAGATGTTACTATTTGTACTAATATTAATTTTGATTTTAAACAGTTAGAAAAGGCACATATTAGAGTTGAGAAGATAGAAGGTGAAGATGATATTTTAGACGTAAAAAGTGATAAAAAACAACCTATGCGCTATAGATTCAATGAAGATGTCACTTCGTTATTAAAACTAAAATTACAAAATTGTAGTTTAACTAAATTAGCAAGAAGGCTAGCTGAATGTTTCTTAAAAAACAGTTTTATACAACATGGGAATGACATTTTTAAATCTTATCACCTTGCATTAGCAAAAGAGGTGATCAATATTCAAACCAAACAATTTCATGTTAAATTTATAGGTATATCTGAGGATGCAAACAAATTTAGAGAGGCTTTTATAGAAGAAATTAAGAGACAATCAGAAGGAAAATTAACGCTAGAAAATATTAATAAAGCAATTACTGATAAAGAAAAAATAATTGATGATAAGCAAGTTGGTTTAGATTTATCCCCAAAATTTGGAGAAGGAGAAGGTAAAAAAAATTGGCCAAATAATGAAAATTTAACTGGATTAGCAACAAGGCTAGCTGAGTGTGTCTTAAAAAACAGTTCTATAAATCATAATGATGACATTTTTGAACCTTATCACCTTGCATTAGCAGAAGAGGTGATCAATATTCAAACCAAACAATTTCATAATAAATTTATAGAACGTATATCTGAGGATGCAAACAAATTTAGAAAGGCTTTTACAGAAGAAATTAAGAAAAAATCAAAAGAAAAATTAACGCTAAAAAATATTAATAAAGCAATTACTAATAAAGATAAAATAATTGATGATAAGGAAGTTGGTTTAAATTTATCCAAAAATTTTGGAAAAGGAGAAGATAAAAATTGGCCAAATAATGCAATTTGTAATGATGATGTAGAAGATTATTTAAACCATCTTGTGTTTGCAGTAGATCAACCTAACGAAGATGAGCTTGGCGAGATTATTAAAGATGAGATAGGCAATGAACTCGGCTTAGACTTGATTACAACAGAGAATATATACAACAAGTTCTTTATGACAATGTTAAATTGGTTGCAAGGTAAAGAAAGAGATAGATTTCTTTCTTATGAAGAAGGAAAAAAGTTTTTTGAAGAGGCAAGAAGAGGGATTCCTATTTGGTTTGGTGTAAAAGAGCCTGTAACTTTATTTACTGGAAGAATTGAGAAATTAGATGAGTTACATAAAGCATTACAGAATCGAGGTGAAGTAGTAATATCACAGATGACTTCTGTAACTGGTCTTGGTGGTGTAGGTAAGAGTGAATTGGCCAGAAAATACATTAGTGAACATAGTAAAGATTACGATGATAACTTTATTTGGATAAACGCTGAAAGCTATGGGACTCTTGCTGAATCTTTTCGTAATCTAGCTCAAGATAAGTTAAAGATTAATACCAAAAATATAGATGGAGAGGAAAAGGACATAAAGCCTATTGTTGAGAAAGTATATAAATTTTTTGCTAAGAGAAAGGCTCTTTTTGTTTTTGATAATGCTGAAAAGTATAAAACTTATAGAGAAGGAGATGAAGGTATAAATAAATTTTTGCCTTCGGGTCCTAATAAGCCATATGTTCTTATTACTTCACGTAATCAGGAATGGGGGGAAATAAAATCATTACCGTTAGATGTATTTACTGAAGAAGAAGCTATAACATTTATCAAAAAGGCGCTGGAGGGTGTAGTTGAATTAGAAAAGAATGAAGTTAAAAGATTAGCAGAGGAATTACAATATTTTCCTTTAGCTCTAAAACAAGCAGTGGCATATATTAAAAAAGAAAATAACACATTAAAAAAATGGGATACAGACGTATTTACAATTACAAGATATAAGATAGAAGCAGATAATCTACTTGAGTTAAAAACTTTTTTACAAGAAGGAGATGAAGATCGTTATGCCAAAACAGTGCTTACAACTTGGACAATTACAATTGATAAAATAAAAGAAGAACTATGTGGAAAGCAAGCTTTAGAAATATTAAATATTATGGCTTATTTTGCACCTGATAAAATTCCAATAGAATGTATTTTTTCAAAATTAATAAGTAATAAAAAAGCACTGCGTAATGCTGTTGAATTGCTTGATCAGTATTCTATGGCTAACCTAGAACAAGGAGTATTAAACATTCATAGGTTGGTACAGCAAGTGACACGTATAAAATTAAACCGGCAAAATAAAGAAAAAGAGATTTTAGGAGAAGCACTGAAATTATTTCAAGATGGTAATAGTCAAATTGATCAATTTTCCCATAATCTTCGCCTAAGCAATGTAGATCATGCTATATCTGTTTGGAGCTATGCAAATAAACATGAAAAATTAGTGAGGAAATTTAGTAGTTTACCTGTATTAATTGTTAGCGAACTAAATGCTACCCTAAGGTATCAAGAAGCTCACACGTTTGGGAGCAATGCATTAGAATTATTAAAAAAAATATTAGGTGATAATCATTTTTCTGTTCTATCAACGATGAACATAATAGCGTCTGTATTGTATACTCAAGGTAAATATGAAGATTCAGCAGAAATTTATCGAAAACTACAAGAGAAATTAGATATCATTAAACTAAAAAAAAATGAATTTCTTGATGATCCTAATATAGGGGTAATACGGAACGCGCAGGGTAGACATGATGAAGCATTAGAAATATATCCCTGCCAATATAATCTAGTTAAGAAAAATGAAATCTATTCTGACGATAAAATAGAGCACAATTTAGTTTTCGCAGTATTCAAAAAAAGCATTATGCAGAGAAAGAAATTGGTTTGTTTTATTGAGAATATCGAGATAATGTACCAGAATCCTTATTCTTTCAAACGAACGGAAGAGGTATTAGAGTCTGATCATGAAAGTACTTTAAATACGAAGAGTAACATAGCTGCAGTGTTAAAAATGGGTAAATATGAGGAGGCACTCAAATTATATTATAAAGAGGTTTATGAGAAAAAAAAAAGGCCAAATCACCCAGACACTTTGACTAGTTATAATAATTTTGCTTTCTTATTGTATAAACAAGAGAACTACAATCAGGCTTTAGAAATTGCGAATGAAGTTGATAAAGAAAGAGAAAAGTTAATTCCAAATCATCCACGTACACTCACAGGAAAGTTCCTTATAATTCAGATTTTAGTTGCTCAAGGTGAATATGACAAAGCACTCGAGAAGTTTGAAGAGATTAAAAGCGCGTATTTAAAGATTGAAATAAAAAAAAATTTGGAGTCAGATCGTATCGATGCGACAGCTTGGCGGGATTATTTAACTTCAAAGCGAAGGCACGAACCGCGAATTGTAATTAGACAGTCAATAAAGTGTAGTATTGTTGACGAACAAGACAATTTACTTCAACTTGAAATATTTATAACGAAGACGGATAGCAGAGGGCGACTGGCCCCGTTGCCAAGAACGCCTATGCTTTTAAGCTCTGGGATGCTTCTCGCAAATTCGAACGAGTCGGTTCGACACATGAGTCACCGAGAGTATTCCCTGAGAGGTTCGTTGTCGACAAATTATAAACAGGTGAGACAAAGCAAACGCGCGAAGACAAAAGTATGGAATCCACTCTGCAATGCTTTGTTTTTTTTATCAGGAAGGGTCAAAGCACATAACATGGCGTAGCGATATACGATATATCGTAGTCCCCGACCTGACAGATCAGGATACGCCAAAGCTTGTGCGTTACTTACGTCCACGACTACGACTGTCATATGTGCTTTGGCCCTAAAAGTCGTTACGTCGAAAGTCACGGCGATAAAAACTTATTTTATTTTTTCGACTCCGATATAGATCGGAACTTTTAATCTTAAACAACAATGCACGAAGTAAGCGTGAAGTAAGGAGTAAGAGTAGGCGTAAGAGGGCTATTTTTTATTTAAGAGAGCTGACGTAAGGGCGTAAGCGAAATAAATTAATTTTATTTCTTACTCCTACTTTTACACTCTTACACTTACGCTCGGCCAATCAGGACGCAACAGACAATGCTTACACCTGCCTACTCTTACTCCTTACTCCACGCTTACTCCGTGTATTGTAGACGACGCTCAAGACTTGCATAACAACGCAAATACATTGCAGCACAAAATGGCCACAAAAATATTGTTGAAACCTTATTGAAAGTAAAGGATATAAATATTAATGTTAAAACGGGGTTACACAATTACGTCTGCAGTCAAAAATTCAGCTGAAGAATGCTTACCAAATAATAAAAAGAAAAAAAACCTAAAATTGGAGAATGTTTATTCACATGGGAGGATGTGGATGAATTCAATGCTGAAAAAGGTAAAAAAAGAGACTTTAGTAAAATTAAAATAGATAGTGAAAAGTTCATTAATTTACATTAAAGGTTTGCCAGAGGTGAACCAAAGTCAGCTAATTCAACTAGTAGATAAGGTCAGAGTTACAGGTGAGTCTCAAAGTTTAGCTAATAACCTAATTAGCAATCAAAAAGTCATGGGTCATCTAAATAGAGTAGGAAAAATCTCCGGTATGACTATGCATGGCATGATGGCTAAAAATATTTTAGCTAACTTTTTAAATGGTAATTATCAAGGCGTAGCAATTAATGTGAATTTTATTGCCGGTGATCAAGGATTTGCCAAGGTTGCTGAAACTACTTGGCAGATCTTTAAAAGCAGCATTCCCGTTTTCTTGCTCGTGGAACTTTAGCCTTTGTTATCTATGATTTAATAAAATTTAATAAACCAGATAAAGTAATTTAAAAATGGTACTGAAGAAGCACTGGTTGGCATAGTAGGAGATAGTATTTACCTGGGAGTAGATAGCGTAGAGATTGGCATAGAAATCGCTGAACTTTTTAAGGTGTTTGAAGGAGTCTCATCTGTTACTGGACGTAATGGAGCAACAATTGGAGCTCTAGTATTTGTTGGCACTGATATTTATGTAGCAGTGAAAAGAGTTGATAAAATTAATCAGATTATTCATCTCAAAGGAAATGAAAGATTTATTGAAGGGTTACGTGCATTTATCGGTATGCAACCTAAAAAGCATATAGAAGAGTTAATAGAAGAAAAACAGCTTAACCAATTAGTAAACAGTAACCAATTAATAAAGCAAGGACTTGAGTACTTAAAGCAACATAGTGATATTCAAAGGTATGTTTTTCCTACTGGTAAGTCAGTTATAGACTCTTGTCGTACAGTGCCATATCAAACGAGCATATGTAGTGGTGGATTTAATTGGTGTTCTGCGAGATGTACAGTTACGCGCTATACTCAAAAATGCACAACTAAGTTTGGAGAAGATTTAGATAATACGGTACTGCTCGATAAAAAAAACTGATATAAAATAGAGCAAAGCAAAGCAAAGCCTGATAATCCAAGATGAGGTCTGTTATTCTGCTTACCACGAGGAGGTTATAGATTTGCTCCAAACTATGGATCTTACTTATGTAAAAATGCAATTGGCATAATTAACTGATTTATCTATTAATAAAACAGAAGGTTATACTCTAATTAACTTAGGAGAAGGTAAAGATTATGCAAAAGGATTTATAGATAATCCAAATATCTTTGTAGTGAATAATGGATCTAAAAAATATCACAATAGCAATAAAAACGATATATTCATTTTTCAAGGAAGTGCTATTCCTGGATATTTCTATGGAGGAGATGGAGTTAATACTTTGAATCTTATATCATTTGCTCCAGAAAAAGAATCTATAGATGTAAAATTGCATATAAAACAAGTTGAAGATTATTTTCGAGATAATTATTTTGGAATAAGTGGAATAAATAGGTTTTTAGGTAGAAAAGGCAAGGCAGATTGTGTGATAGTGATATTAAGTTTGTAGATGGTCAAGGTGGCAGTGAAAGGTTTGTAGATCACATAAACATACATGACAAAAATTGCGCCTACAAAATGCAAGTAGTGGTAAAGTCTAACACCATTATATACAATCGAGCATTGAAAGGGGATTTTTACTAAGGGAGACCGGGGCTATTCGTGACACTGCTAAAATTTTGTCGCGGGCCTAACTTTAAAATGCTTGCTGCTAGAAACCTGTAATATCAATCACAGATGTTTCTTAGTGTCCTCTAGGTACCAACGGAATGGCATTTGCGAGTAGAGTATAACGGTAAAATTATTTAAGTAATGTTTAGCAACAGTAGATATAAGAAGTACTGTAAGTAGCATATTATACATTATACGCGAACGTTATAAATTGATTTGAATATGGCTGAGGAAGTCGCTGTGTTGTCAAGAAGGCGGGCGACCATAAAGGGTCAACTCACGCGTGTTTACAATTTTGCAACGTCCTTGCTTTTGAATTTACCTGATGTTGTAGAGTGCCAAGCAAGGTTACAGAAAGTACATGACTTGTGAAACAAATTCGAAAATATCCAAGAAAAAATAGAGGACGCTGACGCGAGCGAAAATCAAGTCCAGAAGCGTGATGTATTCGAGACCAGTTATTATTGCACTGTAGTAGAATTAAGGGGGGAGCCTCATGTAAACAGTCAAAAAAATTGAAAAAATTTTTATTGCATAAATCATTAGTGTAATGTCTCTAGAATATGTTCCCAAAGTTTTAGAGCAAAACTCAAACTTGAAATAGGCGATTTTATACCTGAGCGTTACGCAAGTAAAGCGCGCCCCGAGAACTTGAAACTTTAAACGCATTTTTCTCAAAACCATGTTTTTCAAATTGGCGTGCAAGATTACTCATAAACTATTCGACCAATCGAATGCCCTTTGGCATGCATGTAGATAACTAAATACTATTGTATGTAAACCTACTTGTTCAGTCATTCTACCAAATTAAATAACTTTTATTGCATAATTAAAGCCAAAAATTTTTCCGTAAAAATTTAATTTTTTTCTAAGTCCTGTTATTTTTTCAATTTTGTATTTTTTACTGAACAAATAGGTTTACCGACAATGACTTATAATAAAAGTAAAAAAATTTTGTATTTTTGATTCAGTGATTAATTGCAGGCGCAATGCTGCACGCCAATTGTGAAAAGTCCGGCACCGCGGCCTTTGAGAGTAGGCTTTGTTGGTACTTATAAATAGAGAATTTTGCAATCAAAAAATATTTTTTACATCTACAAATGTTGCTAAAACCATTACCCAAGTTTTAATAAGTTTCATTTTAAAGTCTCTTTAAAGAAAATTCCAGAAAATTGCCTTGTTTTCAGCGTTTTACATGAGGCTCCCCCTTAATTGCATGGACTCTGTTGAAGGAGCGCTTTAAAAATAAAAAAATTTAATACAAAAACATATTCAGACGCTATTTGAAATAAGTCCTATCGTACGAGAATCGTCGATACATCTAAGAAAGTTGATTGACGATACGCAAAAGCATATTAGAGTTTTGAAAATGTTAGGCCAACCAGTATAAAAAGCTGGAATAGCATAATTATTCGGTTATGGTTATATCGTGAGTAGATGTTCATACTAAACGTGAATGGGAAACAGAAACGGTTGCGGTAGCGGCGCCCACGCTACAGGAGCTTTTTGATTTTTTATCCAGATATTGTATTAAAGGCGTTGCAGCCGAATAAAGGTTTACCATCCTCCTCCGCGCGAAGGGGAGAAAGTGCGAGCGCTCATGTCCAGTCAGTTTAAAGAACGAGATTGTATGATATGCCACGATGGTCATGAGATTTATAATTGTGCAAATTTAAAGGATTATCGGACAGAATGACTAAAATTAGGCGTCATCGTTTATGTATTAATTGCTTACGTAAAGATCATACTGCGGATAGGTGCACGGCGGGCGGGTGCAAGCGATGCAAACAGAAACACAATACGTAGCTGCATAGCGATAGTTAAGATGCAAGGAGCATCGACCGCATCTGACTCGAAGCAGGTGGAAGCGAGTACATTAGACTGATCGACTTCTAATCGTATCGGCGAAGAGAATCGTAACAATTTAGCCTGTCAAGCTAACGTAATGTCAACAACGATAAAATGCAGTAGTCAGGTGTTGCTTGCGACCGCCTCCGTGAAAATATGATCGATTCGGCCGCGAGCATGTATACAGGGCTTTCCTAGACGCGAGATCTCAAAGGAATATAATAATGCGCAGGGGCCTGTGTAAGCGGCTTCACAGTTAAAGTGAGCAAAGAATCGAAGTCTCACTGTCAGGTGTTGGTTGTGGTACGACGGACGCGATGGGAGCTGTTAATACCACAATATACTCCACCGTTAGCGAATTTAAAGTTAAGTTGCGATTTCTAGTTATGGACCGTATAACGGAACATGCGCCCTCGCGACGCGACGGGTGGACGTTTCCGCGCTAAACATTCCAAAAAATATTAAATTATCCGATCGGCAATTTGGAGAGTCAGGCGAGATCGACGTGTTGTTAGGCGGAGAAGTGTTTTAGAACTTCTTATGCGTAGGACAGATTAAGTTAGGCAGCTTGAGAAACGCGTCGCTATCCTATAGTCAAAAGTTTCCGGTGATCCTTGCGAATGATCAATTGACAGACTTGATAATTAGAGACACACATCTGAAAAATATGCATGCAGGCCCCGAAGCGCTTTTAGGTTTGATTAGAGAACAGTATTGGATCATAGCGGGTAGATCGGCGGTCAGGAAGGTCCTGCATAGATGTTTAGTTTGTTATAAGTTTAACTGCAAAAGTCCGTAAAAAATAATGGAAAATTTACTCATTATTGGGAGAAATAGGGTGAGCCCTGGTCGAGCTTCTTAAATGTAGGTGTCGATTATAGCGGATCATTTAATATTAAGGTTACACGTGATAAAACGGCCAAAGCGTATTTATGTTTATTTGTATGTTTCACGACACGCGCTATCCATTTAGAATTAGTAAGTGACTTGAGTACCGCGGCGTTTCTTAATTCATTACGACGTTTATATTTAAAATTATTTAAATTAGTCTATTTCTTCTAAAACACCCCGCGTTTGTAAAAACATGTATTATATATTTACAAGATGTAAATACTCGTAAAAATGTACTATACTTGTATAAATGTACTCGTAAAAAGATTCTACAACGTCGTTGAAAGTTTACGTGCGTTTCGAAAGAATTGCAAAAGTTTCTTGGCTCTTTTTTCTTCGGCTGGGACTTAAATATGTACGACAAAACCAACAATCAGCCGGCGCTCGCCAATTCGTCAGACTTGAACGAAAAGCTTGGCTAAGTTGAATTTCTGTTTACCGACAAGATCGGCACGCTCACTGAAAATCTGATGGTGTTCAGACGCTGCTCGGTCAACGACAACGTGTATATGGAGAAGGATTGCGACGGAAATCTGTACTCATTGCCATCAAGCGGAAACGAGCAGGAGGCTGTCAAACTGTCATCAAAGGAGGTAAAAAAAGAAGAAAAAATACTAATTATAATTAAAGAAATTATCAGTAAAAGAAATGATTATTAAAATAAATTACGATATTAATTATTTTAGTCAAAAGAATAATTTGCGCGCTGCAATTAATATGAGAGATCATACCGATCATTGTATGTCATTTCATGCAATAATAATTACATTAATTATCGTGTGAATATTTGGCGGCAGTTATTAACGAATATTGAATTATTAATAATAATTAACGTTAATTGTAATTAATAATGAAATAATAATCAATGATGGTTGTATATTAGTACAAATCATGAACGTCCATAGCTAACGTACTGCTTGCCAAATAATACTGTACTTGCAATAATTTTGGTCTGT